ACAGCTGCTGGAAACAGCTGTTCATTCTAATTTATAGAAGACATTCAGGAGCAGTTTCCCACTCTATTAGTTCTTAGCATAATGTCGAAATAGAATACGAGACAACAAATTTAATTTTTTACTTTTGTTTCACGACATAGATAGGGTCCTTTGGGCCCAGCAAAGGAGGAGTAGAGGCATACCTGTGTTAGGATCATAGTAAATACTTGCATGGCCCTATGTCTGGGAAATTATTTCTTCAGAAGAAACCTACTGACCTCGTTGTTACACACTGAATGCTAGCATTTGGCTTATCAAGTGTCTGGTTGCTTTCTGTCTTCTGTAAGTGGAAGGATTCTGATTTTGTCTTTGCTGTTCCATTTCAAAATCTCGTTTTCTTAATATGCAATATGCTACAAGATAAAAATAAGTTAGTGTCCAGGACTATGATGCAATAGCAAATGGTAAATGTCCTATTATTTTGTACCTTCAGTAGTTTGCTGATGCTGTCTTGCTCTAGTGGATACTGTCTGAGAGGTTATGTGCAATACTTCTACAAATGGATGATAATATGAAAAAAGCAGAGATACAAGAAGTAAAGATTTTGATGTTTGGTTTTAAGATTCACTAGACTCAGGAAAGTCTCCTCTGTATCCTGAAACAAGGGAGTTGAGTCTGGTTTTGCCTAGCAGTGGCTGCTTACAAATGTCAAGGCAGAAAGCAGACCAGTTTTCACTAAAAGCTGAGAAAAACAGGGACTGAAAGGAAAGAAGAGGTTTTTTATCACTTACTGTATTCCTAGAGAAAACTTGTCTAGATAATAAGGTCACATGGTAGACAGGAAGTAGTTGATATCTGTAAAAAGAGACCAGAACTTTGTGTATGTTTTATACATGGTGTACAGCTGCCTGAGCTGTGAACTTGGTAGCTGTGAGTAATGGTTAAGATTAAAGCTGCTCTCTCCTTCTCTTCTTGTTGACTTTTAAGAGTGAGACAGACTTTTTCTGCTTTTTCTGTCTGTATTCATCATTCTCTCTGTTGATAAATATTGGCTTGTTCTCTTAGATCAGGAGAGAGATATCAAGTTACTGTGACAGCGAATCTGATGTACATACATATTCTGATAGAATAAATAGCCTCTTTATAGAATAAAGAGTCCTTCAGTCTAAAGTATCCTACTAGGCAAATTTTACCTTTTATGTAGATGGGGGCATGAAGAGGAAGGCTTCCATACCTAAATTTTCAAATTAATCTAAATGATCATGAGTTATGAAAATGAGAGGTAATGTGTCAGGCCCAGTAGAGTCTGAAGAAAATTTGCCATTAATTGTAGTGGTCCAATGTCCCTACACTACATCTTTCTACTCTTTCACTGCTATATCATTAATATTACTCTTTCTCATATACATAGAGAAATTACTTTGTTAGCCTCTTACTACTATAAGGAATGTTTAATACTTAATTCAATGTTTCAGTAAAAACTAAAACTTTTAATAAAGCTTTTATTCCCTATTAATATCTTGCAGTTTCTCTACTAATTTTTCCTTTAGCATATCATATCTAATATCATGTAGGATTTTCTGTCTGTTTTGTTTGAGGATATATGATGCTTATACTCATGTCTCTTCTAACTTAGGCAGAAGTGGCCTTTTGGAAGGTTAGTATTGCAGTTTATATCGACTTTGCCATTTCATAATGTCTAATTCAATTAATTGAGCAACTGTGATTTAGGGGGCATTTTCTAACTACGTTAACTTTTACTTTTTTTCCCCTCAAAACAGACATAAATAAAAGGTTCTCATTTGTGTCTATTTTTCTTTAGTTGGCAGAAGTATCTTCCTCTCTATTTATTTATTTATTTTCCGAGAAGTGGGCATAAATAACTTTGGTTTCACTAAAACTCTCCCTTCAGGGCTATTTCAAGGCTTCCCAGCAGCACACACAGAATTAGATTTTCATGTTCAAAGGATCTCTAAGGAGGCAAAATTAAATTATGCAACAGAACAGAAAAATTAGGGAGTTCTGGGAAAGGAATGAAGACTGTGAGAGGATAACAGAAAACAGAGTGGTCTGGGTTTGGAGTTTTATGGGTTTGTGTGACAGTCTGAGGTCTGTGAGTTGATTTGTAGATCTTTCTGTATCTCGTTTTTCTCCTCCTAACGCATTCCTCTCCCCAGGCTGTGCAAACCTGGTCTATGAAATTTGGGGCACTTGTGCTTCCTGTTTCTCTCATACAGCTGTTAACTCTTTCCCTGCTCTTTGCAAATGCAGCTCTCTTTCCCCGCAGTAAATCCAACGTATCTCTTTGTGCCTGTTTTCTGGGAAGAACAGGGCTTCTCATAGTGGGGATGGGTGAGAAAATGATAGCAATAACTGTTTCATGACCCTTCACATAGGTTTTCCCTAATGGTTCCTTTTTAGTGCTTTATCGGTAGCAGAAATCTGAGCAAGACGAAAATTCAGTATAAGTAATTCGGTATAAGAAGAGCTAACCCTACTCTGCAGTAGTCTGTAAATTAGCCTATATCATGTTCATACTTCAATTGTCTACTGGCATGGGAGTACCAGTTAGTTTATTCCAATAGTGTGTGTAATGAACTCTGACACTGACTGATCTTTTTTTCGAGTGATCAGGAGATCTGACTATATAATATTTCCTACTTCTCTTTCATATCAACATTAAATTTCTGTGATTCTCAGTCTATCTTAGGCTATTTATATAGAATGCATCTAATGGAAATAATAGAACTCTCATTCTGCTTGTGTATTTTTCCCCTATCATTCAGTAATTATTTGGTATGGGTTTTTTTCACTCTGTTCCTGAAATGGCTAAATACTCATATGTTCTCCCTTCAGTGATTCAAATATATTGAATTTCATTATTCGTCTTCCTTTAGTTGTGTTGAAAAATTCTTACTGATGAGTGTGTATTTTTTTCCTTTAGAAGGTACAGTGACATTTTTCTGTGACTTTTGTCTTCATTCAGTTTCATTGGCTTGTAAGGTCACAGCTAATATTTATTACCTGCTTTCCTGTGCCGAGCACTGCTGCAGTTCTTTGCTTTTTGCTCCAGGGGGCAAGAAGTGCTTTATTCTCTGGTACAGCAATTCTGAGATTTAAAATATAAACGTAGGGCAGCCACCATGAAAGATGGCGTCATAAATAGAGAGGAAAGGCTTGTAGTCTGCTTCCTTTGTCTATGCAAATACATAGCAATAATAGTCTTTCACAACCCACACTCTGCAAAATTAACCCAATCCTTTTAATAATCAGTGTGAGAATATTGGTTGCTATGGCAACACATTCTGTGGTACTACTTGAGTGTCAAAATAACCTAATGAAATATCATGCTAAGAATGTTTCAAAATTGACTTTTAAAATAAAAAGTAAATAAAGCCACCTAACTGTAGAAGATACGACTAGATTAATGAAATCTGCAACAAGGGAACAACCATTTTCTAACCAAGGGGAATCAGACTAGTGGAGATGGATATATTGTGTTTCTCATCTTTGGTGAGCAAGCTGAAATAGAATTTAGAACTATTTTCCATGATTCAGTTAATGGTATACCAACCACACCTGTGTTAAGAAGTTACAGCAAGAGTCAAAAGTTAAATGATCCTCAGATGTCACACAATTTAAGTCAGTGCCTGTCTGTGTGGTGCTTTGCTTCTGTTACAGTTTCCATCAGCTTGTGTTCATCTTGAGAACTGCTGCTGTTTCTGTACTTCTTTCCCCTCTACTTTTCTTTCACTTCTCCATTCCCTTCCTGGCAGCAGACTCCATGCATTTATTTATTCTGTTGGCTAAAATAATCCACACTTATGTGTTGGGGCTTTGAAAATTATTTTTATATGGGGCTCATAGCGGTGTTTTAGATTTGAGGTTAATAGTTGTGGTCAGCCATTGTCTCAAACAGCATTATTTTGGTCGAACAAAAATCCAGCCACTTCTCAAAGAAGCATTCCTAAAGACAGCATTTAGTATCTGAACATCAGGTCGGGTGCTCGAGCAGCTGTCAAGCAGGCTAGAACAGCTATTGCCTATTCCCGTTTAAGTATGGGCAAAGAATTAAGATGTAAAATTTACTTTTTTTTTAACTTGTAATAATTTTCATTGACATGAGATTTTAAAAATCATTTATTGCTGGGTTAACTTTCCTCCTTCTTCTCCTGAAATGAATAAAAGTTGCTCCTGTAATTCAGTTGGGATGGACTATCTTGTGTAGCAAAATAACATAAATATATGGAAACTGTTATATCTTTCTACTTCTCTGTCTTAGAAAATTAGGGTACTGGTTTAAGCAAAAATCAGGATTTTCCCCCTTATCACTGAGGCCAATATGTAAGTCACAATGTTCACATCTGAATGACTTTTCATGATACCTTTCATTCCTTTCAGACAATGAAGCAAAGTAAGACATTTTTAAATACATTTTTTGCCTACAAAATAAGCTAACACATTTATTATTGATAAATACAAAATAAAAATCAAAACCTCGTATTTTGATTGATTTGGTCCTTTTTTTTTCTGCAAAAACCTTGGACTCATACAGGCAAGTGTAGTACAGCTGTGCTTTTCTGAACACAATAAAAGTGCTAAAATAAGATCCTCTCATCTTATATTTTCTTTCTTGGGGATTGTATTTTATTTTTTTTAAATGTTAGTTTTTGTTCACTGTGGAATATCCTAAACTTTATGATATTACAGCAAATTTTAAACTAAAATGAAATAAAAATTGCCAATTTCTTGATAATAAAGACAATAAATACATACTTTTACTGTGTGTTATGTTCACTCATCTTTAAAGTATAATTGCAGGTAGCTCAATATGCACCTTCCTTAGAAAGTGTGATTTTCATACAGCATTTTAACAGTTGAGTAGGAACCTTGTATTAAAATAGCAGTTTATCTTTTGGAATTTATAAATGGAACATTCTTAAGTTCTTTTCATTAAGTAAAAGGTTTCTTTACAATATATGAGTATATGTAATTTTAAAGTATTGTTTTTTAATGCACAGAGGCCTTCTTCAATGCGTTTATCACCAAGGGAGGAAGATGATGATGATGCAGGTGAAAATACATGTGGTCCTTCAGGTTTATGGGAGGCATTGACACCGTGTAATGGATGCAGGAACCTCGGATTTCCCATGCTTACACAGGTATATATTTACCTTCTCATCATAAAACTTTATAACTATGAAAGAGCTGCTTAATCTTTGCCTTAACTCTTACAGTCATGTCTAGTCTTGCCTGATTCCCTTCAAAATTTTTACCTTCAGTCTTCATTTTAATGTCAAAATCTGGTTCTAAAATTAAATGTTGAGGTTTGGTCATCCTGATGTAATACTTATCCAGATGGGTTTAATATTGAGACTGCTGTTTGTTTCTCCTATTTTAGATATCTAGTTGCTGTGTTGGATAGCTTTCTTTTCCATCTGAAAAGAAATTTGAAGTCATATAGTTTCCTTTTGGATAAGTACTCAGCTTCTAATTAATATAATGACATCTTAACTACTTTCTTTATAGAATTGAGGACTTCGTGCTTAACTCAGCTGATGTAAGAATATAGCCTAAGACTTCTCTTTGAAGATTATATAAATTAAAAAAGAAGTCCTCAAACATTTTCAAATGCTCATGACAATACAGAAGAGAATAAATAAAAGTAGGTAATATACTTGGGTCTCAGTTGTAGCAATTCTCAGAGCAGACCAGCCTGCAGTGTCCACTGAAGCCTTCCAGCAGCTGTGTCCTGAACAAGTGATACTGTATCGCTACAGAACAGGATGATGCTTATTGCTGCTTCTAGGGTCTCCCTTGTTCTCTCCCTCCACTATAATTTACTACTCTCCTTTCTGTAGCATTTTTCCTGCGCTTTTTTTGTAGTATTGAATGAAGACCTGCCAAATTTCGGCTTAGCAGTCTGGTTTTTTTCAGTTGCATCCTTACTTGGCACTGCATTTAAATAGCTTTGTCAGATTCTTGTGTACCAGATTGGAATTACATATCCTGTCTCACCACACTTTATACACTGTTGCTTTCATATCGTGACTGTACGTTTTATTCCCTTTAAGTCTTATGGGACTTGCACCTGTTTGAAGTCAATGCTAAAGCTTTCCCTGCAGTCAATGGAAACAGGATATGGCAGCTAATGTGCTTGAATAACAATGAGCACTACCCTGTCTTTTTATAAGGAGCTTTTATATTCCTTTCCCCTTTCAGTAGCTGTTTTCTACTTCATACTATCTATCATTTTAGACATTTGGCAAAGCGCAGAGCTGTCGGAATTATCCTGATTTACAATAGGAGTGTTATAGTTAGTAATTTCTCATTTTTAAGCATTTGTTTCAAAACATATTTCCTAAATGGAACTTTTCTTCTTTAAATATGTATCACCTATGGTTTAATTATTGCTAAATTTTCTTATGATGAAAATGCATTTTGATGTGATTTTCTAATTTTAAAAAATGTTTTTGTTTTCCTTGTTTGTTTTTAATGTAAGATATATGTAAAGGGTGTTATAAAACTGAGAAATGCCCTTCAAAAATAGAATCAAGCTAGCTTGATTGGTTGGTTTCTTTTTCCTATATATAAAGAGAGATTAATTTCAAGAACAAAGTAAGTTGTAAGGTAGTGATTCCTGAATTAGTTTTATTCATTGTACTTAAATTTTAAACTCAACCTGATGATATCTCATCTTCCTTGCTTTCAGAACTAATTAGATTTTTAGTTATAGGTACAAAAAAGATTTTTTAAAAGATATTTATTATGTGTTCATTCATGATATGGTAGATTGCCTTTCTAGGTTGTTTCTATCCATAAAAATTGAAGACAGAGATAGTTTGGTCTTTTGTTGATTTTATTTCTAAGAGAGAAAGGAAAGAAATTAGGTAGTGAAAAATCTTCAAATAAAACCCAGTGAATTTAGTTTATAAAGCGTTGCCATCACTGTATGCAGTCTTTCAAGCTGTTAGCTAATCTGTTGGATCTTTCACATTTACTTCAGAATGCAGCAGAGAACATCTTGTTCTAAGGGATTGAGAACACAAAGTATATGCTTCAATTTTTGGATTAAGAACAGTATGTTGAATTGGTCTAAGAAATTATGAGAGATACGATGTGCAACAGCACGTTTTAGGTAAAAGTACAAAAATGTGTTTCTGATACTCGTGCCAGTGCACTAACATATCAGAAAGTGCAGACTTCATCATGAAGAAGCAATGAGATAAGGGTACTTGATATTATGTCTTGAAATCCATACTCTCCTTAAGATCCAAGAATAGGGAAGAATGTCTGTCGGTTACTCTTGAACACAAATGACAAGTTCAGTTTTACACTTTTCCTTTATTTAAAAATAGATTTTACTGTTATATAAATGTATTGTGTTTACACATCAGAGGTGAGCAAATGTAAAAATTGAATCTTGCTTTGTATACACAGAGGCACAATGATAAAATGAAAGTGAGTTTTAGGTGAGATTATGAAAATGTCCATCTGGGACATAGTGAGCTAACAGTTTTCAATATGACAAAGAAACAGGGCAGTTATCTCCTTGACAAACTTGGTTTCTTTATTGCAGTCATGGAAAAAAGCTTGTCTGGAGGTACTTCTGGCATACAGTATGTCATTGCTGTCTGTACTGTGCTGGGAAGTGTCATTTTAGCAAGGGCTGTTATAGAAAATTCTATGTAAGTTATTCTGCAGATATCATTTCTAACCTGACATAGCAGTTATACAGGTATTCTCAGAACAAGCAACTCTCTTCTACAGTCTCACAATTGGTGAAGTCCTGGAAGAGCTTGATGGAAAATCTTCGTGTCTTTTCAAAATGTCAGAGTTTTATAAAGTGCCCAATTCTACATCGAAATGGACTGAACAACTAGTTTCATCCACCCAAAAAAAAAAAAAGTAGAAGAAAAAATCCAGAGAGCAAGGATACACAGCTGGATTTTTGGAGACTGAAGTTTAAACATATCTTCTTATTTTAGCAGAGGGTTAAATTCCATTTGTAGCTTATGATTTAAGGTTAATATGGAGGCTGTTGCTTTTTTCTGGAGTTAATCTTTGGTTCTGGGCAGAAATTCCATCCTTGCTAAAACTGATGCATGTTTTTGTGAAAAATTTTGTCTTCCAGAGATGAATATTTTACATCTGAAAAATAGCCTTTCTCAGGAAATTCCAGATTATATGTTTTCTGGCTCTGTCAGTACAAAAGAAAAACTATTTTATCACCTGCATAACTGAATAATTGTCTTCTACACATTCCAGAATTTCCAGTAATCTTAACTATCAGCACAGTAAAAACAGTTTTAAAAACTTTCCAAGATGTAAAACCTCAAAAGTGCTTCTAAAGAACTTTCAAATTCTAATATTGCAGGCTCTCTTGGAAACAGTTTACTCTGAAATGACATGTCTGTTAAACTGAGAGAAATCTTTTATAATGGTATGATAGTACTAGAGCCTCTTCCATGGATCTCTAGTTCATGTAAAATCTTCCTACAGTAACTAACAAGATTTTTAATGCTTCAGTGGTTGCATTTCTGCCAGTCATAAATACTATTGAATATCCTTTCTGTCCAAGAGCTAGAATAAAAGAATATATTTCATATATCATTTTTCTTCAGAGTAGTCACAAAAATAAGAGTTATGTGGCAAAGTATGTTTAGCTGGAGAGATTTCACTATGCTGTAGGTAAGTATGGGAAAGAAAATGGGGATATGATCCTTAAAAAAACTTCTTGAGCAATGGCTACTAATGATAAAAAAAAACCTGGAAGCATTACAGTATCACTGTTGACCATGTTCAAATGAGGACAGTTTAGTCAAGAAACTGATAATTCAGTGAAATATAGAATAGGAAAGTTTAGAGGTAGAAATAGAATAATCAACTTAATATGTGCATGGGTATATAGTTATTAGGATGTCCAAAGAAACACAGGCTGCTGTAACAGAGTTTTGCAGATAATTGGGTTGATACAGTAGCTTTGGTTAGTCAGTCAATGGAGTTAAGTTTCTGTCCTTACAATGGCAAGAAGAGCAAATTTAGGTTGAATAAGGATTCACCCCTTTATAATTTTGATAAAGGGAGTTAGAATTCTGGTCCCTGTTCTGTGTTTGTATATTTTTATAACAGTTTACGTGGAGTGCCATAAGCAGAAGACTACACTTATGGTCATCTTACTCTAATTTCTGTATTATTTAGTGCAAGAGAGGCGCTTCACAGAATCACAGAATGGGTAAGGATGGAAGGGACCACAGTGGATCTGGTTCAACCTTCCTGCTCAAGCAAGGTCATCCTAGAGCACATGGCACAGGATTGCATCTAGGCGGTTCTTGAGTATCACCAGTGAGGGAGACTCCACAACTTCCTGGACAATCTGTTTGAGTGTGTAGTCACCTGCACAGTAAAGTTCTTCCTCATATTCAGGTTGAACTTTCTGTGCATTAGTTATTGGCATTGATGAGGTCCCCTCTCAGTCATTTCTTCTCCATGCTGAACAGGCCCAACTCTCTCAGCCTTTCCTCATAAGAGAGATGCTCCCAGTCCCTTAATCATCTTTGTTGCCCTCTGCTGAACCCACTGCAGGAGCTCCATTTCTCTCTTGTACTGAGGAGACAAGAACTGGACACAGTGCTCCAGATGCAGAGCAGGATGCTTCCAGACGGGACAGGATCATCTCCCCTTGACCTGGTAGCAATGTTCTTCCTAATGTAGGCCAGGATACCATTGGCATTTTTTGGCCACATGGGAACACTGCTGGCTCATGGAGAGCCTTGTTGTGCACCAGGATCTCCAGGTCCTTCTCCTCAGAGCTGCTTTCCAGCAGGTCAGCCCCTAGCCTGTGCTGGTGCATGGGGTTATTCCTCCCCAGGTGCAGGACCTGCATTTGCCTTTGTTGAACTTCAGACAATTCTTCTCTGCCCATCTCTCCAACCTGTTGAGGCCCTTCTGAAGCACTGCATGGCATGCTGGGGCATCGACCACTCCTCCCGGCTTTGTGTTGTCAGCAAACTTGCTGAGGAGGCATCGACCCTAAAGGGTTATTGATGAATAAGTTAAAAATGCTCAACCCAGTTTTGAATCTTGGGGGACACCAGTAGTGACAGGCCTCCATCCACACCCTGTGCCATTGATTATGACCCTCTGGGATTTAACAGCCTAGATTAAAAATAAAAAACATAGCAACCAACCAAAACCTAGCTATCAGTTTCCACTGCATTCTGGAAAAAACTTCATCCAGTAGGGGTGTGATGTATTTTCTAGGGACAGGAAGATCACAAATTCCTAAGGAAGACATTGTGCTTCTGTCTAGATAGCATATTTCTATCTAGATAGTTCACAAAGTTCCAGGGAATTTTGGTCTGCCTTGCTTTAATGCAAACTAACATTGAGAAAAATTCACTAAGAGAACTTTGAGAAATGCTCAGATAAGGAAGGTGGTGCCAAACTGTCCTAGCACAAGCAAAGCTTTTATATTCTTGTCTTTGTATAGATGAGCTACACCAAGTTCTGCCCCTTGATAGAGGATCATTCAGTGCACATAGGACAAAAGACAAGATAGAATGAAAACTTCAGAGTTTCACATTTGCTGTTTTATTCAAAGGAAAAAAGGTTTAGTAAGTGGATGTTGTCAGGGCTGGCGACGCCCTGGGAGTGATGGCGTCGGGACCCACAGGGGCTGCCTGGGGTGGCAACACAGTTCCTCACCATCCAGGGCTTGTCCCACTTCTCCTGTGAGGGAGCAGGGCAGGCTTGTGGGGGGAGCAGCTTAGGGCCACCCTGAGTGCAGTACATCAGGCAAGTTTGTGATGCTCAGGCAGTTCCCATGTCAAGCCAGAAAGTCAGTCCACATATTGGGGTTGGGATCAGGACTGGTAAGGTTAATCAGGAACCGGGAGTAGATCACCAGGATGTCTCTGGTGATGAGGCAGGCTGGGAAGCCAGTCAGCCAGTCAGGGTCCAGATCGCTGGGGTCCCTGGATCAACACAGGCAGAGTTAGAGATGAGCTCTCATACACCTTGTCTCAGCCAGGAACTGAGGGCCCAAGGCTGAGGTAAAATGAGACTGCTTGGGCCCATGTGCACAGTGTGGGTAAGGGCACCACGTGAGGTTATTCAGGGACAGTAAGAATTATTGCTGCATTCAGCACTGTGACAGATACTGATAAAAGCAAGAAAATACGTAAACTGGAAGCTGAGTTGAAATATGGTTCTTACTTGACCTGTTATTGCAGCAAAAAAGAGTAGGACCAAGAAGGAACACTTACTGATGTACTAGATTGCTTTGTATGCGCTTCTTATACAGATTCTCCATATATGTGTGAACGTATTTCATCTGCATTTAGCTGTGTATCTTGGCTGACATTTGTATAGACAGAGTATTCCAACACAGGAATATTCCCAATGGAGCATAATGCAAGAGCAGACAGGTTTGGGGAAAAAAAAAAAGGTTTACATGTCTTGTAATGGTCTAGCTATGCATTACCAAACTACAGGAGCAATTCTGGTAACAGTAGGGCAGGTGTGGTAGTTTGGTCTAGGCCTTCCTTGGTGACCAGTTTGTAACCAAGGAAGGGCCCATATTTACCCAGTATTCCCTACGATTTTTACGTAAGCCGGGCTATAAGAAGAAAGGAGGAGAGACCTTCGGTCTCTTTCCTTCCGGCGGCTTGGAGGTGCGGGTTCCCTGCTGTTGAGTCTGCCGTGTTGGGGAGCGAGGCCTGGTTAGGCCTTGTCGACCTTGGGAGACGGAGGTTGCTGGCGATCGTTCCAACGTGACTCTCCGTTGTCCCAAGGAGAGTAGTAAGACAGTCTTTTGCTAATTCTTTTAGTTGCTAGATCTCGGGCTACTGATTGGGATATATATATATTTTATTTTGGTTTTGTTCCTTTTTTCCCCTTCCCCCTTCCCTTTCCCTTTTCCTTGTGAAATTGTATATATATTTCAATTGTATATAACTGTACATAAGTGTAAATATATTTATATATATTGCTTTAGCTGTCTCTCTCTCATTTCGGTTTTCTTGGTTGTTTTTTCCCTCTTCTCCCTGAGAGCTGGGGGGGGGGGGACACGGGGACTTCTTGTGGTAAGGTTTGGAGACTTGGCAGGGAGCCAGCTTCAAACCATATCAGCATGAATGATGGAGAGTGCTGTGCATGTCAGTCTACTTCTGTTTCTCACTCCTTCCTTATGGAAAGACAGAAATGTAACTTATATTTAAATGTGAAATAGCATTAAGCAGCTCCGGCCTGGAGGTGAAGGGACTAAAGTACTTCAGCCGTTTCTCTCATAAAGTCTCCTTATGGCAGAAACATAGAAGATTGGACAAGGGATGGGTCCTTTCTCTCCTACTTTGCCTGAACATAGGTTTTGGTAAAGTAGTGGGAAGCAATTTGAATAAACATCAGTTTGGTTGAGGGCATTTGTTTGCTTTATCGATTGGTTAAGGAGGGCAAGGTTAGGAAGGTGTAAGGAATGTGGTAATAAGTGTAGAACACTCTTGTTTGCCAGTAATAAAATAATTTCTTGTTCTTAATAATCTATTCTGCAGTGCAGGTTTATTTACTATTCAACTCCTAGTATATTTATTTTATGAAGTGTATCAGTACCCACATACAACTTTAGAATAAATCATTATACTCCAAATATACGAAACTGTAGTTTTCATTACATTTTCTTTTTCATGAATAGTGTGCTTTAAATATTTCTCTGCTAACAGGCAAACAGGGCCTGATGTACAGGGACAAATACAGGGCTGTCTGCAGTGTCAGAGAGATGAGTGCTGCAGTCCTGTATATGATCTCTGCAGTATTATCAGTTTAAAGCAACCAGTTCACACATCTTAATCTTGACAGCCATGCCAACATGTTTTTCTAATTGTGATATAAAGTAGTTGTGAGATAAGGTAGGTTTAGCTCTGTCCCATTTAGGAAACTGATGGATCAGCTCGACTACGCTGTGTCTTGAATTGTGTTGTATGTATAACTTAAAAATCCTAACAGTTATTCCCAGTGTTTGACATGATGACAACTAGGAACACCTCATTTGTCTAACTATTACAAAATAAAAATAATGTCTGTAAAGAGACCAATGCAGTTACTATGGAAAAATTGAATTTTGATTTAAAAGCCATAAGTATAAATTATCGTGTTGCCAGTGGCCAGGAAGCATGACTCTTTACAAAACTATAGCCAGATATGGAATATTTACTTAAATATTTAAAGAAATGTTACATTTCTAGCTTAATGTCAGATTTTCATCTTTTTAGAAGGAATGGCTTCTGGAAGACCTTCACATTTTGCTTCTAAGACTGATCTACATTCTGCTTATGTAACTCTAGGATTCCTAGTGGTAGGAACTCTAGCAACTTTGTCACATGTTCTCCTGTGGAAGAGAGATTTCCTACCAGAATGCCTCTTATTTAGAGGGAGGGAAGAGAAAGTGGACTCCTAACTACATTTTTAGGAGATGAACTGTATATAATACTGTTTCTTTATCAGTATAGGCAGTGATAGGAATATTTAGAGCTTGGAGTCTGATGCATCAGTTAATGGGGTTATGTAGTTCATGTCTGCCTTCCAGAAGATCATCTTGTCTGTCTACACTTCTTTTTATGTAATTTTAAAAAGTAATTTTTAATGGGAAGAAATGTTGTTTACGGTTTGTATTGTAGGAGCTGTTAGGGTTGTTCTATAGAAAGCCTGACATTGAAAATAATTATGTTGCAATTATGTTTACATTTTCAACGACAGTTCTGGATACATGAGGGTTGAATGAGGTAAATAAATAAGGAGCTAACTCAATTTTCACATAGGGATCAAGTCTATGCTTGAAAAAACCTCTGTACTGACACTCTATGGAGAGATGCAGTATGACTATATCTTGTCTTTTTCTGAAGAACTTTAATACTGGGAATTTTTTTTTGCATTATTTGTTTTCATTTTAGTGTATTCTTTCAGTTTGAACCGGTTCTATAAATTTGCCTTTCAATGTATACAGTGGAAGCACATTGCAAACTAGACTAGTAAAGAAACACACTTAGCTGACCTTACTTGGTGTTAAAGTTCTCCAAAATTAGAAACAGAAAGTCTTGCGGCATTATCTAACTTATATGTTACACAGGAGGAAACATGCTATCTTGTTTAGTGATGTACTAATTTGATAGATGATGATATAGACATAGTAAAGAAAACTTTGACATACAGTATACCTGAGCATGAATAGCCACAGTAAGATTGTTATATTATCTATAATATTTTTCTATAGTTTCTAACCTTCAGTGAAAAATATTTTTTCTCTTCCTAATTTAGTGGGTTAAATGATGAGTTTACTTAAATAGGATTGACATGGAGAGCTATATTGCCCATAAAAAAATATTTCTGTTAAACTCTTGATTTTCAGTGTTGCCTCTTCTGCAGTAAGTGTAAGTTTTATTAGTAATTTCAGGAACATGCCACCCACACACTGAAGCAGCTACTGAAAACTGCAGTATGCATTCTGCCTAGAAAGAATCAGCAGGTGATGATTATACGCTGCTGAACAGTGATGGGAAATAAGTATATTGAAAAAGATTGTAGCTTATTTTAGTGCTATGCTACATTTTCTGATGGTGTTTTAAGGAATGAAGCTGTGTGTTTTGTTCCTGTACATAGTCCAGGGAAACCTAATGGTTAAGATAGCTCTGCTTTGACTGAAAATTTGGACGAGATGATTTCCAGAGCTCTCTTTCATATCATTGTTAACATCTACATTTTATAATTCTCTCTAAAATTCTAGCTATGTGACCTCAGATGAGCTAATTTTTTTCAAAATTTAGGATTAGCTTTGCAGTTTGTAAATGACTGTGAAAATATGGCTATGCCTGTCCAGCACTGTGTACATTTAGGCACTGCTGGGATGAGTTGTCTCTTGCTGTGGTCACAAAAGAGCACAATTAAATGGGATGAGAGTGAAAGGAGAGAGGTGTCAAAAAATATGGGAATTGTTGATATATGTCAGAAATAATCTGAAATATTGATGTCTGTAATTTTTTACAAGATGAAATTTAATTCTGATTAATGATATTCAAATTAATGTAGAAATTAATGTTGAATTGAACACTGTCACATTCCTAACTGAAACATGTCACAGTGATCGTCCGGGAAGATCTCAAATAGTATGTATGTCACATTTTGTTGTTTTGTGCTTTGAAACTTAGCGGTAACCAGGAGACACACTTCCAGGGAATGTTTTTACTTTCAGTACCACCTGACAAATTATAAGAAAACAATAACAACAAAAAAAATCAATTTGAATTGCACAGCAAATGGATAGCAATAACGCATAGCAATTAGTTTTGTATATGAACAAAGTTCAACTTTGTGTTAAAAACTTCACATTTGAGCTTCAGCTACTTCATAACAGAAATATTAAAGCAGTATATTGAAACTTGAAAATTTATGTAGGAGTTCCTCGTCAATCTGACCAAATTGGGTTACTGTTCGGTATTACATTTTGTGGGGAAAAAAGCCATCCTAGGTATGTTGTATTTGTTGTTCCTCTGATAGCAACAGAAGCAAAGGAGTTTCTGGGCAAAAAATCTGGTAACCAAAAAAGCTGATAATCAAAGAAGCTCCACCACAAAGGAGTTGTGGTGCTATCTGAACACGGTTATTACTACATGGATTTACTATATCGATTAGCCATTAAGTCAGGCTTTGTCTAAGGTTGTATTTCTGTGAAGGACTGTTTAAAGGCACTTGATATTTTGGGACTTTTTTGAGCCTAACAACTTATTTTCTATTTTGGCTTGTTTATTTTTTTTTTTATATTCAGTGGTGGTACAAATATATTTGGGAACTAAGCTAATACTGGAAACTGTGAGGGATGGTTTTACTACTTCAGTTTTTAGTAGTAGGGAAATTCATGGCTTCATAGAGTATGTCCCTGAAGAAGTCTGTAAAATGTATAGAACTTGATTTTGTTCTGAAGAAAAGACCTGACTGACAGCTGGGCTTTTAAAAGAACAATTCTGTAGTCTGTACCAGTGAATCTTCTCTTGCTGTGCAAAAGAAATTGCATGCCTTGGGTTTAAAGTCATGTCTGGCTGCTGTATTTCACTAAAAACTTCTAGTACTTGTATCCCTTATACTGAGTCTGAAAATGAGATAGATCCTGAAACAACAAGTTACTTAAGCATAAGCATTAATGGGCTTAATCCCTCTTGAGTTTCCATACAAACATAACTTTATCAAGAGATACTTATATTTTTACCAAAATTCAAAACTAAGGCTAAGAGTTTCTTAAAATCTCCAAATGATTTTATGACTTTTTCGCTAGATGATGAACTCATGAATTAGATGTAAAATAAAATGAAACTGAGGTTAAGGAGAGTCCATATTTTAGATATCAAAGGGAAATATCATAGAATCATAGAATCAGATGGGTTCGAAGGGACCTCTGAGATCATCAAGTCCAACCCGT